GTCTGGGGCAAGTGATGCACTGTATTCTTGGTGCCTGGGGGGGGGGACAGTGGGAGGGCTTCTAATGTCCTGGCCAAACTGCTGGACCTCCTGATGGCCCCTGGTATTTTTGGCCACTGTGTGACACAGAGTGTTGGACTGGATGGGCCACTGGCCCGATCCAACATCGGCTTCTCTTACGTTCTTATGAAATCTGGGGGAGCAGGGATCCTGACTCGGAGAGGAGAAAGGTTTTTCCTGCTTATCCCGCCTCCTGTGGTGGGAGAAGAGGGCAAACGGGCAGAGGACCCTGCCATTCCCTGCCCCCTTATCATGGTTTCTCATCCCTCCCAAGAAGGTCAGACACCCACTTTGGGGAAAGGCGGTCAGACCATACCTCCGCCTGGCGGCTCAGAAAGCAGAGGTCCCCTCTATTCTCCAGTTTCACAGAAGAAGGGCCTACAGAGAGAGAAGGTACCAGCCAAAAGGTCAGGAAAGCCTTACAGAGCTCCTGCTGTAAACAGAAGTGGGCATCCGTTGGCGGAAGATACTACGTCAGCCTCCTAAGGGAATATGCTCCGGCCCTGTGATTATTCTAAAGGTCCCTTTACTGTATAATTTCCGGGCTGATTTTTTTTTTCTTGAGACAAACCACAGCCTTCCATTGAGGGAACATGGAGCAATTTCATTTGCAGTCTTTCCCAGGTAAATATTAATGCTGGGTTTTCTTTTTTCCGCTGGGGTCACATGCTATCATTTTCAAAACAGAAGAAAGAGGCCGAGCATGTTTAAGGAAGGAGTTTGATAAGATGGGAGCCATCACTGAAAAGGCGCTGCCCCTCTTCTATACCAGTGTATGAGGAATAATTTTAAACGGGGGGGGGGGGGCCCTGGAGACTACACGAGTGAATCCACTGCCTAGACATCCAAGACACAAAGGACGTTTCCCTGGACTGCTTGTAAATTTAAACCCAGATGTTGTATGCCATCGGATTTATCGGGAAAGAAATCGAATTTAAAAACAATAGAAATGACTCGTTTGTGATTTGTTTGTACAAACGTGAAAGCTTCTGGAAGCTTCCGTAAGGCCCTCGCCCTACACGGCACTCCCCCCAAGAATAAATCAAGGCCGCCCTCCCTCCGTGGACCCTCTCTCTTCCACGTACACTTTCAGACAAGCTGGAAGCTGGGCAATACAAAAAACGACCCCGCACCGTCTGTGAAGATCATGTCACGTACTTACTTCCAACTGAGTTTTCAATGGCCTCTTGACATTTCTGAATACCCAGCTTGAATTTCTGCCGCTCTGCGCGAAGCCTGTAGCCTCGATGGTAATAGACCAAGGCAAATTCGAAGTCCCCCATGGTGTACAGTGCTTCTGCTTTCTGGTATAGACCCTGTAATAGAAAAGGAAAAATATTATGCAAAGATAACTTGTTTAGTTAAAATATTTTCACACACACACACACTATTTGGCCTCCGAAAGTGGCAAGCAACCAAACATGAAACATTAGAAAATCCAGATAATAAAATCTAATCAATACTCCCAAATTCAGTTGATTATAACAGAGCAACAGTATTAATAAACCTAAACCTGTGCAGGAACACATCCAGCCCGCCCTAAAAGCTCTGCACTGGCTGCCTATAGCATACTGGATTCGGTTCAAGGTGCCGGTTCTTACCTTTAAAGCCCTATATGGTCAGGGACCTACTTACCTGAGGGACTGCCTTTCCCCATATGTCCCCTAGAGAGCACTAAGATTGGGATCCCAAAATTGCCTGGTCCTCCCGGGCCCTAAAGAAGCCAGGCTGGCCGCAACGAGAGCTCCTGGCGGACATCAGAGCCCTGTGGGACCTTTTGTAGTTCCACAGGGCCTGTAAAATGGAGCTTTCCCACCAGGCTTTTGACTAGGGGGCCGCCTTTAACATCCTGGCCCTGGCCCTGGCCCTGCCACCAACATCATCACCAACTTGACGACCAACAGCCTGGATTAGGGCAGGCGACGATTCAAATGTCAGAGAACGCCGCCATCTTTTATTATATCTATGTTTTGAGTAGTTTGGTCTTATACACTGTGATTTTAACTTAATTCTGTTTTTAGTATATGTCGGAGTTTTAATGTATATATATTTATTTATTTATTATATTTATACCCCGCCCATCCTGCGAACAGGCTCAGGGCGGCTAACAGAAGCGGTACAATGTACCTAGTCGGCATAGCCATAAAATATATACATCTATTCGTATGTAAGCCGCCCTGAGCCTGCCATGGCGGGGAGGGCGGGATAAAAATTTAATAAATAAATAAATAATAAAACAGAAAGTGGACTTGAGCAAAAACCTCCCCCAAATGCTTCAAACATGATATTGTCTTGACCAGTCTCCTGAAAGCCAGAAGAGACTGAGTGAGGCAGGCAACCCCGGAGAGAAAAACCCAAAACATTGGTGCCACCACAGAAAACACCCTGTCCCAATACAACCAGGGTACGTCCTGATGACCAGCATGCAGGTAGGCCACAGCGGGTCTCTGAAGAGGTGGCAGGAAGACCACAGCGGCCACAGCGGGTCTCTGAAGAGGTGGCATGCAGGCCTTTGAGATAAAGTAAGCAAGAAGTTCAGAGGCACGTCCCCGCCAGACGATTTCTAGAGAATACCCATGCCGCTACCAATTTGTGAAGAAAAGTTGTGCGCAAAACCCTTACGGAAACAAACTGCACGGGTGCACAAAATACATTGTGTATACGAATACAGAACACCTGCGCAACCCCCCACCACTCCACCCTCCCCAGCACTATAATTCACCAGCCACAATTCTCCAACCCCACCCTTCACCTCTTATCATTGACAAAAACATCCTTGTCCTTACCCTGGTTTGTAACAGCCATTATGCCAGACGTCAGACAGAAAGGCAGTAGCAGAACCAGGGATGTCAAGAGGACTGGGTTCTTTGTAGGGTTGCCAGGCTCCAGGTGGGGCCTGGAGATCTCCTGCTTTTACAACGGATCTCCAGCTGACAGAGATCAGCTCCCCTGCAGAAAATGGCTGCTTTGAAGGGTGGACTCTGTGGCATTGTACCATGCTGAGGCCCCTCCCCTCCCCAAACCCCGCCCTCTCCTGAACCCACCCCCAAAGTCTCCAGATTTTCCAACCCAGACCTGGCAACCCTGGTTCTTTGACTGAGCTCACAATCTGCCCCCTCCCCTTCTGAAGTGAAAAAGATAAGGGGATTCTGTTACTCCCCCCAACTAGCCATTGCAACAGCCTGCCCTAAGTCTGGGAAGCGAGACCTTAGGGCTAGGACCAGATCTTTTTCCCTTCCTGTTGCTCACCTTGGTAAACTCTTTGTCATTTTGCAGGGAGGCCTCTGCATCCTTCAGAGCATTTTCTGTATCTCCGAGTCTCAGGTAGCATTTTGAACGGGCAACGAGACAGTTCCTGTCCCCTGCCTGGAGCTGCAAGGCCTAAAGAACAGAAGTACACAGTCCAATCTCAGTGACATGAACTGACCTTCAAAAAGAAAGAGCCATAATTTTAGCATCAGGGATTTGGGAGCATGTTGAGATCTGGGCAAAAGGATGAGTGGAGGAAAGTCCAGAGAGAGAGCAACCTCCCCTGTCATCTGGAATTCACACGGATAAATGCAGAGATCACCTGGTGAAACAAAGATCAAGATGGGTAGCCACGTTAGTCTGTCTGTAGCAGTAGAAAAGAACTGTCAGGTAGCCTTGTCATGGGTCTGGAATGTGGAGGGGTGTCCTCCCGTTTTCTGTCTCAGCTCTCCCTGGCTCACCAACTGTATGTTATCTTATGCGTGACCTTGTAGATGTCTCAGCTGCAGTATTAGTCGGCTGGGAAAGCTAACGGCTTTTGCTTTGCCTGCTTGCTTTGCCCGCGTGCGCGAACTGTATCCATTGGCTTATGCTTACCAGGGGGAATGTTTGATTCTAGTATAAGTCCTGGTATTGTCGGCTATTCCTGACACAAGCTGTACACGTGTCTTCAGTTCTGGTTTTACCAATAAACAGTTCTCTTCTAGCGCCCAATAACACCTAAAGACTAACCAAATATATGGCAGATGTCTGCAGAAGTGACCAGTGACTCACAAAAGCCCCTACCCTGCCCAAATTCTGTTAGTCTTTAAAGTGCTACTGGACTCTTGCTCTTTTCTACTGGTGAAACTTAGTGAACCTAGAGTTCCAAAACCCAACTTTGCACTAATCTAATGGTCGCAAGAATCACCCATATGTTATTTGCATCCATATTCAGGCCTTGTCCCAGAAACAGGCTACCAACTTTTTTTTCCCTCCAGACCAATTTGGCCAGGGATCCTGGAGGCTTTTTGTCACCTTCTGGGCATGGAACAGCAGTCACTGCAGGTGTGGAAGGGGAGGTATTTGTGAATTTCCTGCATGGTGAACTAGATGACCCTGGTGGTCCCTTCCAACTCTATGATTCTAGGTCACCAAAGGTTGTTATCCCATTTCTATCCAACCAGCTGACATTTGTTGCAATGGCCCCAGCCCAGACCTCGCTGCATTATCTTCTTCTAATGTGACCGTGCTGTGTCTCCACAACTGCAGGGCACTCGGGCGGGATCCAAACCAGGCCGTCTACCAACCAGGCCCCAGCAGCTTGCAACTAGCTCCACTGAGCTAGCTGCAGTACAGAAGGCGAGGCAGACCTGGGTCTCGTGCAACCCAACCGCAACATTTGTCCAGCACCCTCCATTGGAGCTACACTCCTCAACTGGCTGGGCCTCTGCACACATCTGCTGGGATAACTCTGGCACCATGGCTTGCAGACTGGACAACTGAAGCCTGCTCTCTTCCATGATGTCAGTCGTCTCCCTGGCTAGCAGAGCCAGCCTGCCGGTTGCCTCTGGCCCTCGGATTCTCCTCTGACTGCCTCCTACTTCTGACCTGGCCTTTTGCGCTCCTGGAACCTGGCTCCCTGACAAACAACTTACTCCCCCACCTCCCTTTCTCTTCCTCCATCCCTCAGGGACACTGTAATCTTATCCTCGAAAATTACCCAACAAACCCATCCGATAACTTCGTATCTTCAGCAGTAGAAAAGAACCAGAGTCCAGTGGCACCTTAGACTGACAAAAGGTGTGGCAGGGGATGCCGCAAATGTTATCAGTCTTTAAGGTGCAACTGGACTCTTCCTCTTTTCTACTGCTGCAGACAAGCTAACACGACCACCCGCCTTGATTCATAGGGCAATTCTGCATTCACTTTTCCCTCCGGTGTTTTACGAAAACCCACGTTGGAACAGAAATTCCCCTCTGCACTGCATGCTGCTTTCACTTCCTTTGATGGTTGGATTTTATGGTATCCTTCACACTGCATGGTGTTTCCGCTTTCTTTGATCATCGGGATTAATGGTACCTTCTGCATAGATCTATGGCCATTCAGGGATGCCTTTTCAGTCAGTACGGCGTTGGCCCATGTTACCTTCACCTCAAGTATGAAAACCGCAACACCGTTCCAGAGGAAGGCAAGCACAGGGTCCACTGGCCAATGCCATCAACTTCCCTCACTTGCTTAACTGCCATTACTATAATAGAATCCCCTTGAACCATAGAGCCAGTTTGGTGTAGTGGTGAGGCGCGTGGCCTCTAATCTGGGAGAACTGGGTTTGATTCCCCACTCCTCCACTTGCAGCTGCTGGTGTGACCTTGGACCAGTCATAATTTCTTGCAGAGCTGTTCTTTCAAGGGCAGAGAGAGCTCTCTCAGCCCCACCTACCTCGCCAGGTGTCTGTTGTGGGGAAGCGACTGTAAATCGCTCTGAAACTCCTTCTAGTAGTAAAGGGTTACAGCCAATGTTCCCTCTAAGATGTGGAGTCCTGTGAGCAAAAATTCTACTTTGTGAACTACTGGCATTAAAGTTGTGAGCAGGTGATTTGGCTACTGCATAAATTAGTTTGCTCTGGAACCGTCCTTCTTGAGCTAAGACAAAAATGTGTGAGCTGGAGGCTAAAAAACTGTGAGCTGGCTCACACTAACTCAGCTTAGAGGGAACACTGGTTACAGCACAGGGGAGGAGGAGGAGGAGGAGGAGGAGGAGGATGAGAGAGCTCTGACAGAAATGGCTCTTTTTCAAGAACAGCTCTGACAGAACTATGGCTTGCCCAAGGTCATCCAGCAGGTGCGAGTGGAGGAGTGGGGAATCAAACCCGGTTCTCCCAGATTAGAGTCCGCGCACTTATCCACTTCACCAAGTTGGCCAAATTAGAGGGAATATGGATTGGCAACCCTGATGAGCAAGTGTGGCTACTTCAGAGCCCCCCACAGAGCATGCGGGCTTCCATCCACGCCTCCCCCCAGCCTTACTCCGGCATAATAATCACAACACCCATCACTGGCTCTCTTCTGTCAGGGACGTCGTTCCCTCCTCCACCCTAACAACAGCCTTGCGAGGTAGAACAGGCCAAATGAAAGTCACCAGCCTGAAGTCGCTCGCTGAGCTTCCTCGCCGAGTTGGAGATTTGGATCCCCCAGGAGGCTGATGTGGCCCAGTCCCATCCCTGGCTCCCACCGGCCTCTCTCATTCGTAGGGTTGCCAGGTCTGGGTTGGAAAATACCTGGAGACTTTGGGGGTGGAGCCAGGAGAGGGTGGGGTTTGGGGAGGGGCCTCAGCCTAGTACCATACCACAGAGTCCACCCTTCAGAGCAGCCGTTTTCTCCAGGGGAGCTGATCTCTGTCAGCTGAAGATCAGTTGCAAAAGCGGGAGATCTCCAGGCCCCACCTGGAGGCTGGCAACCCTACTCGTTCGCCCGCCAGCCAGCCTCCACCTCCCTCCCCCGCCTATTCAGGGGCCGAATACCCACGTAGCTATAGCAGTTCAGGGCTTTGGCCAGCTCCCCGCGCCGGCTCAGCATCAGCCCTTCGGCCATGAAGCTGGGGAACGTGCCCCGCAGAGTCTCGCCCTCCGAGTCCCCCATCCTCGGAGCCTGCAGTAGGGCCGGGAGGGACGCGAGGACGCTGCCTAGCAACGGTAGCGGAGCAACCGCAGCACTTCCGGAAACTGTACGGGGCGCGGGAGGTGCTATCCTCTGATCCTGCAAGGCCCGGGAGGACGCTTCCTAGCAACAGTAGCGAAGCAACCGCAGCACTTCCGGAAACCGTACGGGTCGCGGGAGGTGCCAAAGAGCCAGGTAAGCCAGAAGGGAGCGGCTTCTGCGAGCTGATTGGTTGTCTACGGCTCCGCTTTCTCCTTTTGTTCATTCATTCTGTTTCCACTGGATTCTGCTGGTGGACGGTGGTTGTGCTCGTTCCCTTCCTCCCAGCAGGTACCCCTGTAAAGGGGAATACCTAGATTTACCATATTTTGAAAAGCAGAAAAAGAGGATGTATTTCCTGACTGGCTGCTTCAAACAAGTGTGATCACTATGATAAATCTCGTAAGAACATAAGAGAAGCCAATGTTGGATCAGGCCAATGGCCCATCCAGTCCAACACTTTGTGTCACACAGTGGCCAAAAATACCAGGTGCCATTAGGAGGTCCAGCAGTGGGGCCAGGACACTAGAAGCCCTCCCACTGTTGCCCCCCCCCCTACCAAGAATACAGAGCATCCCTTGCCCCAGACTGGGAGTTCCTATCTATACCTTGTGGCTAATAGCCACTGATGGACCTCTGCTCCATATGTTGATCCAATTCCCTCTTGAAGACACCCATGCTTGTAGCCCCCACCACATAAGAACATAAGAGAAACCAATGTTGGATCAGGCCAATAGCCCATCCAGTCCAACACTCTGTCACACAGTGGCCAAAAATACCAGGTGCCATCAGGAGGTCCAGCAGTGGGGCTTTTGAAATACCGCTCCTGTTTATAATTGCAACTAATTGGGAATATTTTTAACCTTCTAACCCCAAAAAGGGACATTTTATCCGTTGTTGTTTTTTTAAAGAGGATGGACACCAAAAAAAGAGTGCATGTCCTCTAAGAAGAGGGCATCTGGTAACCCTGGGAATATGCCTACTTCTCTGTGAAACCAGAGACAGTGCTTCGTCTTTATACAAAGCTTTTTCATTGCCAGTGATTAGTTTATTAGAGCATAAATAAACAGAAGTCTTGAAGCACCTTACTAATTTTTGTTCTAGTGTGAGCTTTCGTGAACTTCTTTAGGTTTGCCAACAGCCTGGAGGGAAAGTGTCTTGTCCCTTTAATAGAGGCTTAAAAAGGTAAAGGTTCCCTTGCTTGAAAGCCGGTCGAGTCCGACTCTAGGGTTGCAGTGCTCATCTCCGTTTCAAAGCCGAAGAGCCAGCGCTGTCTGAAGACGTTTCCAAAGTTTAATTCTGGGTATAAGCTTTCCTGTGCATGCACAATTAGAAGCGTGCATGCACACAAAAGCTTCTACCCAGAATTACAGTTTGTTGGTCTTCAAGGTGCCACTGGACTCAAATGTTGTTCTGTTGCTTCAGACCAACACGGGTACCCACCTGAGTCTCCATGGGATGTTATTTAGTAAGTGATGTTATTTACCACCATGCTCTTAGGCTTGCCAGACTCCAGGTGGGATCTGTAGATCTCCTGGAATTACAACAGATCTCCAGTCAACAGAGATCAGTTCCCTGGAGAAAACTGGCTGCTTTGGAAGATGGACTGTATGGCATTGTTCCACACTGAGGTCTTCCCAAACTGCACTGTCCCCAAATCTCCAGGGATTTTCAAAGAGTTTGCAACCCAATAAGATGCTTCTGCTGCCCAGTTCCACAATTTGAGCCTTTGTTAAATAGGCAGAATATTTCTTTTCCCCCTCTAAGCCTGTTGGAAACCTTAGGCACTTCTCCAGATGCATGTAGTGGGCTCTCACTAGGCTGAGTCAACAGGCTATGAAATATAGGAGATCCAGGTGAGAAGTGATTATGAACACTGCAGATATAAAGTATAGAGACCATTCAGGACAGTGCTAATAGGCAGTCTTCTGAGTGTCACTGAACTAGTCACCAGAATACCAGAATTTTAATGTATATATAGCCAAAGGCCATCACAATAGGATATTAAAAAGAAAATAATTCTAATCATACATAGACAAAACAGCGATTAAAAAGAATCTTCGCACCAATAAATACGGACCAGTTATAAACAGCAAAACTGTAAAATAATAAATCCAGTTAGTCATAAAAAGGTCATAAAAGGTTAATTTTCTGAAGCTGCGGTCTTAGCCCTGATTTTTTTGGAGGCCAAGGCAAAAAGAGACACTTTATAACTGATGAGCGGATCAGTGTCAGATAATAGAAAGGCCAGCATGTCAATATCAGAGGAAAATTTTTGTTCTGTTAGCAGATTATGAAGAAATTTAGATCTAACTGCTGTATACATAGGACAAAATAGTATATAATGAAGAATGTCCTCTGGGACTGAGGCACTGCATATACAAGAACGTAAGGCCAACGGTATTTGAGAGTATCTCCTCATGAGTAGAGCCGTCGGCACTGTCTGAAAACGTAAGGAAGGAAGTGTCTTTCTGAGAGTTTGAGATGTGACTGAACTAGGTGTACCTTTACTCCTTCAGATACATAGCTAAGACTAAGGCAATTAGTAAAACCTGTGAATAGCAGCAAAGGTCTTACCAATTGCCTTTATCTGATCTTACTTATATTTATTGCTACTGTAACAATAACATACATGGTTAGAGAGACAATGCTCCCCATACACTGACTGCAGTCTTCGGGCTGCTACCAAATGACTGTTTCCCCACTAAAGGTAGCCTGGCCTCTCCAGAAGGACCAGGTAGGCCAGGGGTGTCAAACATGCGACCCGGGGGCCCTGGAGGGCTTCTATCAGGCCCACAGTGGAACTGGCTATCTTCTGCTTCTTCTTCCGGTTCTGCTGCTGCTGCGTCATTGTAGGTTTGCAGCTTACAGATACACACCTGAATACTCAAGATTGAAACAGCACAGACATTTTGATGCAATAATTCAGAACAAGAGGTGTCAGTTATCAGGCACTGTTAAATAAACAAAATATTGCAAGAGTGCTAATGTTAAGCATGTTTTTATTTTAAGTAAAAAAACACCCTATTTTAAGTTTTAAAAAAATCTATCTCCACTACCTGACATTACATTTTATGACACACGTGGCCCAGCCCAACAAGGTCTCATTTATGTCAGATCCGGCCCTCATAACAAATGAGTTTGACACCCCTGAGGTAGGCAGTGATGTGTGTTAAGTCGCTCGCTTAACAAAGCAGTTGGAGAGTGATTCAGCAAGAACACAACTTTATTCTTTAACTCAAACACAACTCCAACACAGATCAACATCTGATAGCCAGAACAGCCTTTACATTGCAGCTGTCCTGCTTTTAAACATTCCCGGCTAATGTAGCCACACCCACTGTACACATACCAACCTATGAGGTTGCAGAGATAAGGTCCAATCACATTAGTTCCCGCTCAGGGAGCTTGCTTGAAGTGATTGGCTTGTTACTTCCTGGGCTAGCAATACTATTGGATGGATTTGGATCCTAGCCCAGGACGAAGCTTAACATTACAGTTCAGTTAGATGTTTCACCACATGTCATGCATTCAAGGCAGCTTTGAATACAGTACAATGTGAGACCCCGGAGAGCTGCAGCCAGTCAGAGCAGACAATACTGACTTTGTAGATTTCGTCTTCCATGTGTGTGTTCAGAATGGCATCTGTGCCCTCGCTCTCTTGGGCCCCTGCAGGTTTCAAGGCTCCCGGAAGAACCAGCTGAGGGACAGCGATCTTGAAGAGTGTTTCGCTTTCCCAAACACTGTAGGAGAACAAGCCCAACTGGTCCCGCAGCTTCGTCATACCCTGCGGCCCAGAGTGAAGCAAGGTGGCCAGCTGCGTTGGTGGTCTGGAGAGACTTGCAGCCAATGGGGCAGCAGGTTGTAGGAGGTCGCTGCGGTGTCAGTCCTGCATGCGTTTCTTAATATACGGTTTTTTATTTTTCTATATCAGGCAAACATAAACAGACATACAAAATTACACATATGGGGAATTCTCATTACATCATTTGATCTAGTTAATAACCACATGCAATATTAGGGTTGCCAGGTCTGGGCTGGAAAACACCTGGAGACTTTGTGGGTGGATCCAGGAGAGGGCGGGGTTTGGGGAGGGGAGGGGCCTCAGCATGGGACAGTGCCACAGAGTCCACCCTTCAAAGCAGCTATTTTCTCCAGGGGGAGCTGATCTCTATCAGCTGGAAATCAGTTGTACAAGCAGGAGATCCCCAGGCCCCACCTGGAGGTTGGTAACCCTATACAATACCCTAATATATTAATTGCTTTTTTCCACCTTATAGTTTACTTGTATACCTTTTGCTTAATGTGTGACCTCATGCTGACAGGAGCCTGCACAGGTGTATGATGAAACTGGGCACGCTAGCAACACACATGAAAGTCAAGGAGCAGTTTCAAAACGGAGTCCATTGAAAAATACCAGGTTCGAGATGCTTCAAAAAGTTCTGTCTGTCGGCAGTGTTATGTCTGTGATGAACAAAAAAAAGAAAGAAAGTAGGAAGGCATCTAATTCTCTAATCTGATTCTCTAATCAAAAGCCACATTATCCATCTGACACGACTCCCCTTACCAGGGGTCATTTCGTAGAAAAAGAGGTAAGGAGCTCATTAGCATAACTCATTAGCATAACTTATTTGCATATGTCACACCCCCTGACATCACCAGGAGTTTGTCAGAAGGCAACACCCACCGCTCAGGCTCCACTGGACTGTTTTCGCTTGCTAGCTATTTGGCGGGGGGGAACATGCAGATCTGTCTTTGCAGAGGAGGGAGAGCTTGTGCCTGAATAAAACGTGGTCTTAAAGGTGCCACTGGACTGTTTTGGACCGGGGGGCAGGGGTTCTGCAGCTTACCTGGCTGCTTCTTGCTCTGACTGAGGGCTGCTGGGAGCAGGGGGTGGGGCTTGTTGCATGTGCCTTCCCCCTGGGCTCTTTACTGCCGGAGCT